CAAGGCCGCACAGCTGCCGCCCCCCCGCCCCCCCCTTTCTCTGCCTCTCAGCGCTGCACTGTGCCGCTTCCCACAGTTCCACTTGCCCCCCTCCTCTGTCCTGTCTGTCTCCCCTCCTCGGACTCGGTAAGGTCGGACCAAGTGCAGTAGGTAGGTGGCTTCTCTTTGTCACATGGAGCAAATCCACGACAGCCCAAGGGAAATAAAGAAAAAGACAAAAAAAAAAGACAAAAACCAACTTCAGCAGGTGCGAATGGTGCTGTGAGATGTTGAACTTGTTGCAGTCAGTGTTTTATTGGCTTCATCTGAGGATCATACTTTTTGTCTGCGGTGTGGCTGCTATCACACCAACTTACAGTAAATCTTGTTCGGGACCACAGACCCTCGTTTTTCTACCACGCTTGTGAACTGTAGTCCTCATTGCGCACTGTGATGGTAACTCACTTCAGTGCCAGAAACTCCGAAAGTCCATAGTGACTTTGTACGCATACTCTCATCTACTGTAGCCATACTGTGCAGTGTTGTGGTTGTTTGTAGCTTTCATTTTGTAGTAGCTATTTTCCATAATACTTGTAAGCATGAAGTGCTGAAGACCAGCATGCTCTTATCAGTTACAGTACATACAGAGGCTGTAAAAAAAGGTTTATAGTTATAATGTTCTCAGTAAGAAAAAACCTTAAAAAGTATCTTATCAGATATATGCATGATTATTGATGAGATGACAAAGATTACAATTGTACTACACTTTAAATTAAACTTATATCTTTTTCAAACTAAGATTGGAAAGAGTGAAGTTTTTTTTTAGTAATATTTTTGTTTTTTGTTGCAAAAGACACATTTCTTCCTAACCTGTTGTGAAAGAATAACTATTTGCATCCCTGCATCACTCCCACCCCTAATTTACTCCGTAACCTTCCGTGTCCTTTTGACACAAGCCGGCAAATCTAATGTCTCCTTGTGCTTTCAGACGATACTTACCTATCCTCCGAGGTTTTCCCGCTAAGTACATCTACGACCCGTGGAACGCTCCGGAGTCCGTGCAGGCTGCCGCCAAGTGCATAATCGGCGTCCATTACCCGAAGCCCATGGTGCACCACGCAGAGGCAAGCCGACTCAACATCGAGAGAATGAAGCAGATCTACCAGCAACTTAGCCGATACAGGGGACTAGGTAAGAAATCCAAAAACTAACGAGACTGAAAACATAAAAAAGGAGGGAGGCCATTCAATGCCAAAATAAAAATAGTTTCCTTCCTTTTAAAGATACCTTGTGGAGTTTGTTGTAAATAAAGATATGTTTTTCAGAGCAACAAACATGTTTGTAATCTGAGTAATAAAAATATATTTTCAAAATAAACTTCCTTCTAGGATTAAAAAACAAATGTATGTATATGTGTTTTTCAGGCCTGCTGGCATCAGTGCCGTCCACCAATGGGAATGGGAATGGAGGAATGATGGCCTACTCTCCTGGAGAGCAGCAGCCAGGGACCAACAACAACAACAACAACTCACATTGTACGTGTTTTTCACATTTTCTTGGTCACAGAAATGGTGTGGTACTCCGACCCATGTCTTCATCTGTGTTATTCTTTTTTCAGTGCCTGGAGTGTCGGGGAGCTCCGTTGCAGCGGGTAATGGCAGCGGGAGCATCTTACTCAACTTTGACAATGAAGAACAGACCAGGCCTAGCAGTGCTGGACAACAGCAGCAACGCCTGCAACCACTATCGCAACAACAACAACAGCAGCAACAGCAACAGCATGGTAGGAGTCACTGGTGTTTCCCTGTTTCTAGTAATTTACATTCTGTCCGTGTGTTGTGCATATGCTGATAATTGTACCCACTGGTTTGAAAGAGCAAACCCTTTCAACCACCACTATGGCATCATTGTTGGACATTTTTTTATTTAAAAAAAGTGCAAAGGCTATGTTTTGCATTTTGTGTAGACACCCCCCCCCCAGTAGTCTACACATTCACTGAATGCCTGTTGATTAATGTGCACTTTACCTGTTAAATAATCCAATAAATAAATAGTAGTAGTAGTAATACTTCACATGTGTTATAAAGTGGATGTACACTAAGTTCTCAAACTCACAGTGAGTATTGTGTTACTTTTTCAAAAAGCCTACAAGCATGAGATGTTCCATTATTATAATATGAGTTTATGATACTGGACTTTAGAGGTTTAAATTGTCTGTTTGATGTGTCAGCTGCAGGATACCACTCAGTGCCAGACACCAACCAGACCATCACCAGCAGCCGACTCTACCATGAGTTTGCTGTGCCTCAACACCCAGGTAGGAAACAGGAAGGAGCAGTTATCGCTGTTGTGCTACTAGATGCTCAAGTCTAGCATTTGATATAAATGATATACCCCCATTCTAACTTGTACTGCCTACATTTGTTATGTCGCTTTTAAAAGTTGTTGAAGAAATTGAAACACAAATTAGTTTTTGATGAACATTAAATAAGTATCATTTCTAGAATAAAATTTCAGATATATAAATCAAGGCCTGTCTCTAGTGTGGATGAATGCTGCTACAGGAGGGGGACTCTATTAATCCCCAATCCCCATTAGGAGTGACCTGCATCAGGTGGTTTTAAATAATGATAACGTTTTTCTTCCTGCCTGCTGGGACATTCAGGACTCCTCCTGCACACCAGAGGTATCACAGGAAAGAGGGAGCGCGAGTCGGAACGTGAGGGGTCGGGAGAGAAAGACCCGACGTCCTGCTCGGTGCACAAGATGCAGAGGCAGAGTGCAGAGGTCAGTTGGGATGGCTGATACTGAAAAGTCCAAATGTGGCCTCTTGCTTATGTATATTGTTATAGTAATTTAAAAAGAAACAATAGCTGAATTTCACGTCATTTTACTCTCTATCAACTTTAACTTTAAAAACCTGCAAGCTGAATATCTGCCAGCTTCTGAGCCTGTTTGTTCCTACTGAAGACATGAACCTTTAATAATGGCTCACAAATATATAGTTACATTTTAAAATGTCCACTGCACAGAGGAATAAGGCTTCATACCATAATTGTTAGCAGGGTCTGTTTGGCTTTGGTTCTGGTCTTTTCATGGAGTTTGTTGACAGTCAGAAAAAACAACTTTAAAGTCTTCCTGATACCAAATCTCAGTGCATTTTAGAACTTCAGTCTTTGCCTGGTGTCAAATTTAGTGCCTGTCAACTGCCATCATGCATCAAACTGTTAATATAGCATTTTTATTTAGAAATGTACACGCAGTTGCCAGTTAATTAGTTGCCCACTTTGCTAAAGTTAACAGTCCTGTAATAAATCCTCCCTTAAAGAAGGTTATATTGATGTTGAAAGAGGCTTTGATTCAAATGTATGGTCATTTTGGAGGCTGCACTTTGTGTTACTGTTGAACTGTATTGTATCTCACTGGCTCTCATTGACAGATGTTTCTATTATTTAGCCTAGACTTGGTTGTTAAATAATATAAACACCTATGAGTGTAATGCAGGGCAGTTCAACATCCCCACATACTGCAGCCTCCAAAATGATCAAAAAGGGTTAACAACACCATTAGCAAACACACTATACAGACCTAAGTATGGTCGCTGGAACATGCTAACGCACGAATCAGCGAATGGAATAAAATAACTGTTTTTCCAGCGGCGTATCCTGCCGCACCATGACACACCATGACGTGTGCTCATACATAGAAAACAGTTCCTCAGGCGTGGGTGTTTGGGTGTTTGGGTGTTTTGGCGCTGCCGCTGTTTTTGCCCCTTACGCTTCATGATGAATTATAAATGTGATTGTTGAGATAAGCAAGTTTTAAATCTGCACACAGCCTGAAAATCTATACACAGAATGTCAGTCACAATTAGATATGGCAACCAATGTTTATTGTTAATCCTGCATGCTACCTTTTGGTGGGGCAAACAACAAATGGAGCCTGTTTAGGTGTATAATGTGTGTCTGCTCCCACTGCAATGTCAATATTTTTGTGTTATCGCACAGTGTGTTGGAAGCAAGGAGAGTCTTCTATGTAAATGTCTGCCTGTCATGGCATTGCCGTATTCACAATAAAAAATACAAAACAGACGGCGCTATGCAAAACAATTGCTCAAGTAAGCAATGGAAACTATGAAAGGAAGAGTGCAGGAAAAGAACAGTCACACCTCTCTGAATGCCTCTCCTAAAGTCACTTTCACTTCAGCAAAGAAAAAAAAAAAAAGCTTTTCTGCAAAATTAAAAAATGAGCTGTGCAAGGTTTGTGTCTTCTCTTTTATTACTCTTTTTTTTTGTCCTCCCTGCAGACTACCTAAAGCGAGCGCAGTTGAGACCAACTGAATCCACGTTGGAGTCACCATCTGGCCAGGGAAAAAGGGGAAATCCCAACGTCACCACCCAACACAAACAGTGACCATCTCCTCTTCAAACAGTGCATCTAAAACTGCTCTCTGTCTTTACAGTCACAGATTCCCCCAGGGTGCAAACACAAAGGTGAAAATGTGATTTTTGGCTCAATTTCTAAAAGGGCTTTTTACATCGAGTCCTCTTGCAGTTGCGTACAGACAGGTGTGACGACCTCGGACAACTGTGCGAAAAAAACAAAACGCCTCAAACTTACAGCTCCACGAATCATTTGTAAAAAATAAAAATAAAAATAAAAAACTACATTGTTGTCTTAAAACTGCTGCCACCAGCCAGTATATACTGTATGAACAATGAAGCAGCTATAAGTGTGAGTAATGAAATATTTCCTTTTTTTAAAAAGCTGCAAATACAACCACGTTGTTGCGTACACTAGTGTAAAGCCTGGCTGATTATGTCTGGGGTTTACAGAGAATATTTTTTACTACAGCTTTGTAGTATGTTCATCCTAATGTGCTCCAACCATCACCACCGCACATGCCGACCAGTCACGTCTCGCTCTACTGTAGGAATATTTGTGTCACAAATACAATAGTCTTTACATTGGAAAAACACTATTTATATTAATATTTTTATGTTTATGCTATTTTGTGTTGCTGAAATGAAATGTCTGTAAATAAGGTAATTGGATTTTTAAGAAAAAAAAGTATTTCCCGGAAGATAAACAATCTATACCTTCAAAAATACTGATCTTTAAGCTGTAATTACTGTGTTATTAACCCTGATTTTACCAGGCGAAATGAGAGAAGCAGGTGCGTGTTCACAGTAATGTTTCAGGGACTTTGTTGAAAATGTTTAGAGTGATTTCTCAGCTTCTGTCTCACTAGCTTGCATGTAAAGGTTCTTCAGGCACTGGGGGTCCAGTTGGTGAGTGAGCACCTCCTTTTTAACACAATTTTCACAGTATTCACGGGAACACCTAGCACTGCCTGGTTAGCGTGTGTGATCACTTGATTTGTATCGGCAGCTAAAAACTGTGACTTGTGTTGTTTTACTGACCTTATTTATGACGTATAATATCAAACAGTCACACCGGTTTCTACTGTTGGTCTTGAAAAACATGTTTACAGTGTGTTGCTGTAGATTAGTTGGGAGACGTTAAACTGCTTTTAGAATGTGGCATTATGGGTAAAAGAGTTCTCATGTAGCTTTCTTTGTAGTTCTTTGCTGGAAGTGCCATGGCGTGACGTCTTTGATCTCATCAGAGGTAGACATGTAGCTGAACACAGGAAGTCAAACTTCTAGTAAACGTCAAGTAATTGTAGTGATTGTGTTGCTCTTTCTGTTTTGTTACTGTAGGTTTTTTTATTTGTTTGTTTGTTTGTTAAGGTTTTTCCATTTTTTGGAAAACCACTTCGAGCCTGAGCCTTTGCTACTTTAAAAAAATACAAATGAAGATTAGTATTTTTAGGATTCCCTTTAACATCAGTCAAACATGAGCAGGCTCTGTTCTGTATGCTTATAGAGAATTTTAGTTTCTTTTGTTCTTCACCCTTAGTTTCAAGCGTCCTCTTAGCATCGTTTCCCACGTTATTAATCATGTACAGATCGTCTCTGTGGTTTCACACTTTTGAAATTTTGTCAAAATAAAAGTGATTAAATATAAAATAGACTTGTGTTGTCGCTCAGCTCACAGCTGTTGACCATCAGAGCCTGGACGATCCCTTTACAGTGTTTCTGATTTACCCTTCAAAAGTCAGTCACATTTTCACCTCTCTGTTTCCCCCTGCAACTCTTAAAAACAGATCATGTCTGTAGAAGTTCAGAAACAAATGACTTTGGAGTATCTCTGAGGCATTCTGTCTTGTTGGAAGATTTTGAACTTTTTTGCTGTGCAACACGTTCAACAACCAAAAAAAACAAACCGTTGTGGTCAGTTTGGGAGAGGAAGCGGTTCAAGGTTAACTTCTGTCGATTACTACGAGGGCAAAGAACACAGACAGTTGGGTGCAAACTCCTCTCAAAAGGTGTCACATTTTTCTAAGATTTCTTATAAAAACCAAAAACTTGCTAAACAAAAAGGAAGGAAAAAACAAAACAAAGTTGAGTCGACACAATAAAAGACAGATGACAGCATCTGATCCAAGTGAGCCGAATTCTGTCAGAAAACAAACCAACATTCCTCAGAAACGAGTGTGCCCTCCTGACTACTAGGGTGCAAAGAGTTCAACGATATACTGTACATGTATGGCTACACGCGACATTTTGCGACCTGGACAAATTTGATTAGGGGAAAAAAAAAAGTGATAAAAACAAAATGGCCAATAAATAGCTAAATGACCACAATTCGATACATCGATTTATTGTAATCAAATGAGAAGGGTCCCAAAATGGCCGCTGTGAAGTTGAAATGGGAGGACTGTGTAACAGCATTGGAAAGATGAAGTTGGCGTCTTATTTAGGTTCCATCCACCCTCCTATCCACTATCAACTTTACTCCTGGTGAGAAAAATGCAGTCAAATTGAACCAGAGAATGTATGATTCCCCCCTGTAAAATACACCCCCACCCTGCGCACACACACACACACACACAACAACACCACACACACACAAACACACTTAACTCTTGCATACACTCATAAAGAATTTTCAATTAAATTAAAAACAACTCAATAAATTAAAAATCAACACTTCCTGTTGATGTTTGACAATAAAAGCTCTCTATGGAAGGTTGCCCGCTTACAATCTGGAGTAACCTATTGTAAGAATCAGGAATAAATGACTCTGATAATAAAGGCACTGTATATTTGAGAATGTGTGGTACATACATACAAACACATTTATCATGAATTATGTTTCAGCACAAATCTTTTACAAATGCTTAACTCCTGTATCACACAGAAATACAATCACAACACTGGCGAAAATCACTCAAATGCTGACCTGAGCACACATAATACATACCACACACACACACACAACCTTCTAATGGTTTAACAGGAGAGAACTGAAGTCTGCTTAAAGCCCCAATCTGCTGTCCGGCTGTGTTGAAGAGGTGTAAATTCACAGTTTTCTACGAATGACTTGACATGCCATTTCTATTTGGTTCACTCACCTCTTTTTATTAAATGCTAAAATTAAAGACAGCTTTCTGGAATGTGAAATCGCAGCACACAGAAAGGGACAAATTGAAAACTAGAAAATGAAATATAAATTTGGGCTCCCCAGTGACGGCTACACCACCGTCACGCTCACCAAAAGAAGGCATTTAGGCCTATCTTTAGCAGCCAGTTGGAGTATACATTCCCGATTTTAGGAAGACTGCAGATTGGGGCTGTAGATGTGACTCCTGTTTGCCCGGCGCTCTCCTGAGAAAATTCTGGTTTAAGTGGAGCCGTGATGACTCGTGTCTGTGTACAGTACTCAATATTTGTTCATCTGTGATCATACCGGCTTCGTCTTCAGGAGTAATTTAGAGGGTGGGGACCGGGGGAGCTGGGGGGTTGAAGGAGAGGGAGGGGGAGATAAAAGTATTGTAGTGTTTCTGTATTATAATTCTGTATGTTCTTAAGAGGTTCTCAACATTGTTAGGTTTTTGTAGCTTTTATCACTATGGAAAAACAAGTTTTTATTCCTCGCTTTTTTTGTTTTTCGTTTTGTTCTGTTCTCCCTTCTGTGACATGAAGGTGAAAACAGATGCCATCTATCATCTCTGTATTATGCTCTTTCTCTGTCTCTCCTTGTGTTGTGAAAGACTTTTTCTTGTGCTTGATCAAGTTCATGACAGGAAATAAAAAATTGTTACAACTCGACACCTTTCATTCTGCCCTCATGTTTGACATCAGTGCGATTTTTTGACAACGGACTGCCTGTGCACCCAACAGATATTGGATTATGGATGCCAGATCCGATTTGTAACACTTCACCCAATATTCGTTTTTGGGAAAAAAAAACACAGAACATGCCAGAAAGGAACTGCACTGTCTAGTCAAGTTTAGTTCAGCTGATATTTCTGAGCATTCCTGCCCTCTCTCTGCCCTCTCTCATAAGCTGTTCTTTTTGTCAATGTGGACTTAATGGTATTTTTTTAATGAGGTGTGGAAAAGTGGCCAGAAAAATATTTTTTTTTTAGCTCAGTGGTTCCCATCCTGGAGGTCAGGACCCAAAGCTTCACGCAAGGCCTTCTTTATTTTAAGGGATGTAAGAAAAATGTTAATGTACACATGTATCTCAACATTTCACCCATTTCAGTGAGGATTAAACTGTTTTTGAAGTTTTTGATTTAAACTTTATAAACCTGAACACAAGCAGTAAGAGCCTTCACTCTGACAAACAACCTCATCCTGTGTAGAAAAGTAGGAGAGGAAGACACTGAATGTGTCAAAAAAGAAGAATTTTAATAACACACCAAAGAAAGAAGGGGAGAAACTGGATGCAGAAGGGAAATTCAATTGCAATCCAGTCTAGTTGCCAATTCAAGGCTTAACCCACACGAAACATTAGCTTAACCACAAGATTTTTGTTTGTGAGTCAGCAGACTCACGCATGCAAAGCATGCTGCGGCTTGCACTGCTGACAGGTTAAATTTAGAGAGGAATGTACCTCATCAGATTATTTATTTACAGATTAGCCGTCTAGAAGAAGACGGTGAGTTCTGAAGATCTTTATCCAGGTGTGTCTGAGGGTATGTGCGTACACAATTAGAAGTGCGGGTGAAGTTGTGCATCTAGTTTATATCAGCGTGAGTAGCAGACAGAAGGGGAGGCAACCTGCAGGTTACATCATCAAAGTAGAACCAGACTAGACACATATTCAAATAAAGGACGGTTCCAAAGCACCAGTAATATAAAATTATGGCAACAAATAAATCTGCCAACACTAACATGGCCGCCATGTAGGTTTTCAAAGTGGAAACAAGAGTCCAAACTGAAGCAGCACTGTCTGGTTAAGAGGAGTGAGGAGTCAGCAGTCGGTGGTGGTATAGAACAAAGCAGTTAATGAAATAGGTTTTTCAGAAAATGTGAATCAACCATGAGAGGTCCTTCAGCAGACAGCCATAAATGTGCACAAAAAAGATAAGGCTGATGTTCCCAGATGACAGAGATTAGCTGACAGATACACAGACAGACACACACAGTCAAACACGATTCATAATTCCATCAGGCAACAACGTCTTGTTTTACAAGACAACATGAGGCATCTGTACTGTGCAGGTTGAGCAGATAGTTAATCATAATTATTATTGTGACAGAGTGGGTATCTTCCCAGCTCCCCATATACCATATGATTGCAGGTTGTCATTGTAACTTTTAGGGTATAGAGGTCCTTTTTCCAATATATCTATCTTTTCAAACCCCCACACTTCACATGCATAGCTGGTGTAACCAACTTGTCACAAAGATCTAGTGTGATATCTACAGGTAAATCAGGTTTCTACATTTACAAAAACTGGCAAACATTGCAGGGAAGGCTTGCCTGTGCAGCTCCTCAATGCATTACTATTATAACCATTCTAATTCATAATGAGACCAAGGTGTTTAAAGCAATGAACAATGTCTAGGGTTTCATCCAAAAACTTACCTTTTTGTTAATATTTACTTTTAATTTCCAATTTGTCTATTGCTTTATGCAATCCTTCTTTTGTTGTAGACATAATAATTGTATCATCTGCGTACAATATTATCAGCTGATCAAAACTATCCATTACAGCATCATGACAGCCATTCTGTAGCAGGAAGTCTTCTAGGTCATTGATTAAAAAAAAATGCAAACAACACTGGAGACACATTTTCACCCTGGCTAACTCCTGGATAACAAAACACACTGTTTTGTAATCTAGCATGCTTTAAGCATGTTTATACCAGACTGCATCCCTCCAAACTGGATCAAACACCTTACTGTAATCAATGAAAGGACAAAACAGGTGTTTCTTTTTTACATTCATCAGCTTTCCACTGACATGAAGCCCCATGTGCTTTATGTAATTCTTTCTTATGCTGTCTTTACACATTCAGCACTAATTGCACTTTAATGAACAGTATCCATTCTCTTAACTTGTGGGTATTCTTTTCTTTTTTGTCTGCCTTCGATGTTGAAGCACACTGCCTTTTTACACCTTTTTTTATAGGGAATGTGATCTTTGCACCATTAATCATAATACCACAAACCTCTTTTGTTATTTCATCCACTGACATGTTATCCAGGTCACACAACAATTTATCCTTGTCAAGCTAAATATTTCCTACAAAGTCATCTATCTTTCCTTTATCCTCTTTATCAATCCGTATCTGTTTCTTAATATTCGCGACTGTGATGGCTCATTCTATGGTCAACAAAAATACAATTATTCTTATTTTTGTGTGATTATATAAAAACACACTTATGAATATTATATTCATTTCTGACAATAGAATACTGTCCTCTGCACATCCGTCACTGTCTGCCACAGAGCAGGACAGGAACAGCCTACAACAGACAGAAATCACCAGTCTGTCCATTCAGGATCACTTCAGATACATCACACCCTGTACTCCAACCTGTTCCAACTTCTCCCCTCTGGGAGGCGCTACAGACTGCTGTACAGCAACAGTTTCTTCCCACAGGCCACCACTCTCATGAACAGTTAAATCAGTAACCCTCTGACTTACTTCCATTATATTTTTACAGATGATATTTTAACAGTACATATCATCAATCATTGTCACTGTCAATATAAATACAGCACACTTTATATACTTCTATACATGATGTACTGTGCATGATCATATCCATTCAATAGATATTTCTTTGCACTGTTTGTATTGTTTACAACTTCTGTACCTTTATTTGTTCAGCTTTGTTGTCCTTTTTCTTAGCTGTTATGTCTATTGCTGTATTCAGAGAGCATTTATGAAACTAATAACGGCCTCTTGCATTGAAGTCAGGGTTCATATAATTGATGGATCAATGTAACAATGTTAACAATCCTACAAGCTATTTCATAAGAAAGCCTCTGTGAATTTCCCCCACATTCACAGAGGGGAATAAGCTGGGACATTTACTCAGTTTTATATTTAAATTATTCTATTTTTTCTCTGTGACACGCGTAGTTGAAGTCCAGATCCACATGTATCCTGTTACCCAAAGACCAAACAACATTTCTGTTTCTAAGCGACCAAACAGTAATAAAGCGCTGTGGAACTGCTTTCCACATGTGGGCATTCCCTGTCTACATACATTAAAATTAGAAATATTGCGCAGTTTATGAATAAAGAGCCCAACAATACAACAACAGCAGTGGAATATGCTTTCCATGCTTGTGACCATCTTTTGTTATACTTTCCCACACTCCCGCCCTCTAGTACTTCCTCCATCCGCCGACCTGTTTGCTTTTTTAATCATGCAAAAGCAAAGGTCTTCCCCAGGAATTCCCAAATACGATTCATCAACACAGAAATCTACCTTGAAACGCCAACGTGTGGTTTCATTGCAGCAAACTCATGACAGCTGCCCAATCCTGGTTCAGTTTAATATCTTTTAATATCTGACAACAAAGCATTCCCTAAGCTACATGCCAAGGCTTGTTGATAGAATAATGCCAGGCGGAAAGTGAATAAAGCAGAAAAAAGGACTGACAACTGATTTACTGCTTGAGAGAGTATTTCAGTATCATGACAAGTTACAAATCATATACTTCAGGCAGCGGGGGAAGGCAGGTTGACACACAGTTGACAGCAGGTTATACAAGAATCAAGGTGTTGCAACCTCCATAATAGCCCGTTAAATGATAAATAAAGAACTTTCTTTCGCCTCCACATTCATGTTTTCTAGTGATCAGAGTTTCACCCCCTCAGGCAGTTGCCTTTTTTTAAATTGGATATGCTGCTGATTTGCCAACATATGGTAAAATTGGCCAATCAAGGTTCAGGGTGACTGAAAACAGTGAATGCCTTCTACCTCTTTAATGAGGTAGAAGGAGTAGATGCTTTTTCAAGAATTATAATGAATTATAATTGCAAAAAAAACCCTAACCCTAATGTTTTTCTTAATACATGTCTGAAAGGGATCTTATATTAGCTAGCTTATATTAGCACAAAGACTGCAAACGGGGGAAACAGCTGGCCTGATTTATCACATTATATATCGTTGGTTTAACCGCGCAAAAACAAAAGTCCATTTTGAATTTGTACAGGTGGGGAGAGGATAGTGTCCTAGACTACTTCTTGCCTTGGAGCAGTAATATAGCTCTTTGCTGACTGCCTGGAAACTGCTTAACTCCCTGTAAAGCAGCAAATTGTCGTTACGCTTTTTGTATGGATTAAACAAAGTATAACGTATTGAGTTAACATTAGAGGTGCTGCTCAGTGGATTTTGAACCAGGTTGGCTGTTTCTCCAGTTTCAGGCTGGCTGTAGCTTTAACTCTCCACCAGAAAGCAACTTTTCCAAATGTCTAACTGTTTCTTTACCTAGTTGCCATCTGAAGATATTTCAGAAAGCGAGAATTAGAAACACGCTGCTACTAGACGTTTAAAATTATTTCATATTAAATTGTAGTTTTGCAGAATTGTCAAATATCGAAGTTCATATCGCAGTTTTGTTGGAGGGACACTTGTAAACAGTCAAATGTGAGTGGTGGCACATACATTGTCTCTTGCACAAAGTCCTTTGTTTTGGGTTTTACTGCACATCCAACACCTAGCTAATATCCGTTTTCAGATAAATCCCACAAGAATTGGCAAAGATGTAAGAGAACACAAAGATAAATATGTTCTTATAAAACCTGAGCTCATAAGGGCTGTGCGCCAGGTGTCTTCACATTAGATTAGATATTAA